AGATAGAAAGAAAAGTTGTGCCAGGGAACGCCCGTGGTGCCGTAAGACACGGATGTTTATTTTGTCATTTTAATATTTGTTAGGTTTTAGAACCTCTGTGGTTTTAGAGCTTGCAAGCATTGTTTTTCCACTCTTTTTAGAGTGGTGCATCTCACTGTAGTGAGTTAGTTCACTAGTTTTTAGTTGAATAAACTTTCTCTATCAGCTCACGCTCTCCCTGCCTTTCAACAATATTTTTACTCAATTCTAACTCAAATATTTAACTACAGAAAGAGTGATCGCAGTAATGACCCCGTTTTTCTAAAAAATCCTATTTTGACAAGTTGCCTACCGTTGGAAAGGTATTTTTGAGTTGATTAACAGAAAAATTGTCCCAAGTTTGTCCGCCAAGCTGTTCCTAAGATAATCGAGCCAAAAGTTGACCAAAATATGCAGTTTAGCAACAACACAGCTGCTTAACTCAGCTAGATGGCGCAAGCAGCGACAAGTGAAGCATAGCCAAAGGTACAGTTGAGACCCGATTTTCAGTAAATTGAGTCTAGGGCATTAAGTTCAAAACTCAAAAGTTAATAAGAATATATTTTGACGAAACAAAAAGGTAATATATGAGAAAATGGGAAGTGTAAAAGAATTAAGTTGTGAAATCAAATCAAAAATTAAATTGGTAAAGTAGTGGTGTTGGGCGCTGGTAAGAGGAACAAAAAGGAATGTGTGCATCGTCATTGTACTATTTATTTTTGGTTTTCCTTTGCCTTTCCTAATGCTGAGTTTGAAGATGTGACTTGAGATGACTGTTTCTTTTGAAACTTTGTTTGCAAATAGAACATTGAAATGGTCGAGAGTCGCTGTGAACCTGTTGGTGTTTCTGAAGATTACTTTTGAGAGCAAAAGATTTGGAGCAAATTGTGCATTTGTGAGGTCGAGCGCCTGTGTGCACTAATTGGTGTTTTTTGAGACAATATTCCAGCACAAATGATTTGGAGCATGTTTGACACTTGTACGCACGAATACCTGTGTGCACCTGTTTGTGTCGATTGAGATCTCCAATCAACATAAATGATTTAGAACAAATTGTGCACTTGTGCGGTCGGGTGCCAGTGTGAACAAGCTGGTGTTGTTTGAGATGTATACTCAACTTGAATGATTTAGAACATGTTGTACATTTGTGCGCTCGAATGCCAGTGTGCACCAATTGGTGTTTGTTGAGATCACCCTTTTGCCCGAATGATTTGGAACATGTTGTACATTTGTGTGGTCGGAAGTCAGTGTGCACCAGTTGGTGTTTGTTGAGATCACCCTTTCGCCTAAATGCTATTCCGCAGGTGAAACACATATAGTCTTTAGCACCAGTGTGCACCACTTGGTGTGCCCTGAGAGCGCCATATGCCTTGAATGATTTGGGGCAAATTGTGCACTTGTGCGGTCGAGGATCGGTGTGCATCACTCGATGTTCTTCAAGCGCAGATAAAGTATCAAATGTTCGCAAGCAGTTTCGGCATTTTAGTTGGCTCAACTGTTGTTCTGCTGATGCACCGGTAAAAAATTTTGTGCCCGTGGGTTCAGTTAGAGGAGATTCTGCAGCAAAAAGAAATGTTAGTCAAAAGGAAAAATAATCAAAAACTGTCCACTTACCACTGACTGCTGCAGAATCATCGATTTCAGTGGCATCCGAATCATAATCCGCATCATCAGCAAGAGTGTCCTTCTCTGACTCGTCCGAATCGCTGCAAACCGCTCCCAAATTGACGACATTTTCTGTAAACTCGCCACTGACTGCATAGGAATTGTCAATTTCTGTGGCATCTGAATCGTAGTCGGCATCTTCAACAGGGGAGCGCTTTTCTGACTCGTCATTAAAGCTTTTCGGTTCGCACCATTTTTGCACATTGGCTGGACCGGGAAAAGTATTTGTGCGTTTGGGTTCTGTAGCAAAGAAATGTTAGTCAAAAGGAAAAATAATCAAAAACTGTCCACTTACTAGGTGGCAGAGCAGAAGAAGATCCAGTTGCAGGAGTAGACAGCTGCTTTGCACCATCCTTGTTCTCTTTCTCCTGGTGCACTTTAGTTTTGAAATGCCTTTCGAGATGACCTTTTCTTTTGAACGATTGTTCACAAATAGAGCACTGAAACGGTCGAGAGTTGCTGTGAACTTGTTGGTGTTTCTGAAGATTACTTTTGAGCACAAAAGATTTGGAGCAGGTTGGGCATTTGTGCGGTCGAGCGCCAGTGTGAATCAGTTCGTGTTTCTTGAGATCGCTTTTTGCTTTGAAAGAGTTGAAACATGTTGTGCAGTAGTACTGCCTGAAGTCACAGTGCACTCGGTAGTGGTCTTTGAGGTTTCCCATTCGCTTGAACGATTTTGGACACTCTTCACAATCGTAATTTCGAGTTTCAGAGTGAACAATTTGGTGTCGTTTAAGTTGATAGACGTAATTGAAACGTTTCTCACATTGTCGACATTTTAAGCGTTTTGGGCGGTTCCGCTCTTCCTCATCGAGGAAAACACGCAGAAGTTCTGCAGTAAAGAGATGTTAGTCAAAAAGAAAAATAACCAAAGGTTTTCCACTCACCAGAGTTTGTCTGCGCAATCGTTGACTGTTTACGATTACTATTCTTCTTCAAAACTCGAGGGCCAGTGTGCACCCGTTGGTGTTGTTTGAATCGAGATGCACGGTCAAAAATTTTGTCGCAGAGCCGACACTTGAATAGCTTACGCCGTTTTCGTACCGCTGAACGCTTGACCACAAGTTTAGCTTGAAAAGGTTCTGCAACAACAAAAATGATAGTCAAAAGGAAAATGCATCCAAAAACTATCCACTCACCGGCTACTGTTAGATGATCATCAGCTTCAGCCACATGATTGTTCTCCTCGTCAAACAAGACAATTTTAAACATCCTTTTGCAGTTAGCAATCAAAGCAAACAAAAATTGGAAAAAGTTGCTCCAGCAACTGAAATGAGAAAGCGGAGACAGTCAAAACAAAAGAACAGCTGCTGCTGCACAAATGATCGAGCACGTTTTTTCCACAGGTCACGTTCGTATAGTACGTGACTCAAACTAAGAAAAACTGTTTTGCTAGTTTTGCAGATTTTCCGATAGAGCAAACTTTTCCATTCTGCTAACAAATACAAATTTTCATAAATTGAAAATGTTTTTGTTTTGTTGTTCTATATTTCACTTTTTTATGTTGTCTGGAACTTATCCAAAACTGAAAGTGTTGATGATAAACAGACAAACGGACAAACTGGCAAAGTAATAAACAAACTTTACAACGGCTTTGTATGCAAACCTTGAAAAAGGCCCCCTGCCAAAATTAAAAGATGTACACAAAAAATAAATAAAACAAAATCGGCTATTGCTGGGCTACATTAGGTGTTGATGTTTGCTGCGGTTGCTGGTCGTTGCTGTTTGAAGTGGCGGGCGCTGTTTGCGCAAGCTGCTCAAACATTGTCTGTATTTCCGCCTGATAAAAGTCGTTCACTTGTTTTCGTTTCATCTTCATCGCCGCCGTCAGCAGACCGTTATCCTGGTCCCAGGTTTCTTTGACCAGGGTAATCGCCACAGGGACCTCTTTCGGTTTCAGGCCCAGTTCGCTGATGGCTAATTGCTTCAGTGACTGCAGCACGGCACTTTTTATTACCTCGTCAGAGCAGAGTTTTTCAAATGAGGCAGATTTGCCCAGTTTGCCGCCTAGTTCAACTAATGCTTGCTTGTTGGGAGAGATGACGGCAGTGAGGTGATTGGAGAATCGGTCATTACAAACGCAGATGTTCTCCACAAAAGGCGAGTTCCGCAATGATGATTCAATTTTTCCTAGTGAGACAAACTCGCCGTTAGCCAGCTTTTGCAAATCCTTTCGTCGATCTGAAATTGATAAAAATTAGTAGTATTAATTAAAGAAAAACCTCTTAACCACTTACCAATAATTTTCAGTGTACCATTGGGCAGCACTTCGCCAATGTCACCCGTTTCTAACCATCGTTTGCCGTCCTCGTCTTTAAAAAACACTTCTGCAGTTTCTTTTTCCATTTTGTAGTAACCATTGGCCACACAAACGCCACCCACAACCACTTCACCTCTTGGATGGGGTTTATCTTTCGTTGAGTAGCCGCCTTCTTTCCAGTCTTTCAAATAGAAAGAAAAGTTGTGCCAGGGAACCCCTGTATTTCCAAAAGAGTCGGAACCTATCAAATTTAGCGGAAGAACGTGCGATGTGCCGGTCATTTCAGTGGATCCTGGTGTTGACCATAGTAAATATTAAGATTAAAATCAATGATTACGTAAAACAATGACTCACCATATGCAATGACCACTTTGCAGTCAAGTGCCGCCTGAATCAATGCTTGAGTGCGAGCGTTCAACGGTGCACTGCTGACCACCATCAACTTTAGGCGACCGCCAAACTGATCACGGATGCGTTTGGAAACGAGTCGATTGATGATGGGCGTGTCAAAACCTCGTTGCGTCCAGCGAATTTTGTAGTCCATCAGGTAGGTGAAAATGGGCGCAGCTATAGGCGAAACTGTGTTCAGTTTACGGTAGATCTCCTTTTGAATGCGCTCTAAGACGAGGGGTACTGCTACAAAAAATTCAGGCGCAATCAAACGCAGATCGCCCACCTGTCCTTTGATGTGCGCCGGACTTGAGTCCAGCAGGGTAAATGCGTTGCAAAAGGCAATCTGCAAATAAAATTGGTATAGCAGAGGTTTAAAATCAGTCAAAATAGCCGCGCAGGGAGTGCTAATGCATTTCCTATAAAGATTTTTAGTTTTCTACCAACTCTTATAACTTAAAAATATTTTACTGTTTTGTTGTTTCTTACCTTTGAATCTGAAAGTAGCATTCCAATATTCATCATATACCTAAAATTAAATCATAATTTTTTAAATAAAAAGAAGTTATGTAACTGGTTAAACTAACCCAAACACGTGACCCATTGGCAGGTAACCAGGGTAGACGCTTTTGAAGACAATAAAGCCATTTTCCTCATCATATCGCAGCAAGTTGAGCAGCGTTTGACAAAAGTTTTTATGTGAAATTTTTACTCCTTTAGGTAAACCTATAATTTAAAAATTGGGTATATAAACACTTTTAGCAACAAATCAATCAAATAAAAAGATATGTGTGTTTACCTGTTGTTCCCGATGTATACATGATGATGCACAAATCCTCAGGCGCCGGTGGAGGAAAATCGCAAGCAGGCAACTGTTGGCCAGTAGCCTCCACCTGATCGTAGGCGTGCACATTAAAATCTTTTGCTTTTAGCTCATCAACTACTGCTATTGAGGAAGAGTCGTGTGACTGTTTGTCATTTCGAATGTAGACAATGTTTTTCAGCTTTTCAAGCTGTCCCGACAGGGCGTTCAGTTTGGGCAGCAGTGACTCTGAAGTGACGACAAATGGTGCATCGCTCTAAAAGAAAAATAGTGTGTTGAGAAAAAGGGTTTTTAAAGGCAGTCGTAAGGGGTGCTTACCTGGTTGAGGCCATAAACTACGCCGTCGTCTGAAAGCGTCGAGAAGAGCGTCACAGTGACGGCGTTGAGTCGGGCCAGTGCGAGACAGGTGTAGAACCACTCGATGCCATTTTCCGCGTAGATCATCACATGCATTTTCGGTTTGACTCCTATCTGGCGTAGGCCACGGGCAATGGAGTCCACGCGGTCCAAGACATGGCCAGCGGTAAACCAGCGAAAGTCAGGCGCCAGTTGCACCTTGGTGAGCGCCTTCCCGTCAATCACCACCGGCTGGCCGGTCTTCTCGTCGAGAGCAGGCACTTCTGAGAGCACATCTCGAATGCCCACTGCCTTCCGGTTGCGGTCGATCAGCGGAAAGATCTCCGGAAAGGTGCGGTACTTGTAGAAAGGGTGAGATAGTGTGGGCGGTGACGGTCTACTGTACACTGTGCGGCCGTGTTTGTCTTTGTGCGTCACCACGCCGAGGTTTTTTGCAAGTCTCAGTTTTGTCCATGGCCGCTGGGCAAGGGCATAAAAAGGCAGCGTTGACCAGGTATAGGCATTGACCAGTGCCTTCGTGTTGAGCAGCGCCAAACTGGTCAGCAGTTTGGAGGACATTCTGTTAAGCTGATCAAGAAGAGTTTTTGTGGTAAATGTCAAAGTTAAAGTTGATTCATTTAAACTGGTGATAAATAAAGACTGATGAATTGAAGATGATGATCACTAATGAAAAGTAAGCAGTAACAATTGCCAATAATAAATTACTAGTAAATGCCGACGTCCTCTCTCACATGGCGTGCATCAACTGTGCTTGTCGGTGGTTTTATTGGTTGCCATTTCCTCTCCCTAAAAATGACCAGTGACTGGCAGTGTCTCCTCTTTGCCTGCGGACACTGTGCTCACCGGCGAACCTGACGACTTCGAACGCACTACCACACCACACCATCCAACACAGCACTGCATCAGTGTAGAAGTGCACCAGTGCAGCAAAGTGTGTCACCAAGTGTTGTGACACTGCCTACTTTGTGTGTATGTCTGCTTTCTGTTTTGGTTTGCCTTTTCTCCCTCTCACGTCACTGTACAGCCGCTTTCCTTTGCTGTTGCTGATCACACAGCTGCTGCATTCGTTTGAACGTCGGTCGCCGATACTGACAATACTACTTTGGTACTGCTAACCACTAAAAGAAGTCATTAGTGGTACTACAGAGTGTAGTTAGTGAGTTTGTGAGTGGGAAAAAGAGAGTGAGAGAGAACACAACACAAGTAATGTATTTTTTACCGTTACTGATCAGTGACAAACTCTGTGTGATTGTGCGATACAGTCTGCNGAGAGTGAGAGAAAACACAACACAAGTAATGTATTTTTAACCGTTACTGATCAGTGACAAACTCAGTGTGATTGTGCGATACAGTCTGCTGATGGGCAAACTGGATCCAAACAACNGCTACTTTGGTACTGTTAACCACTAAAAGAAGTCATTAGTGGTACTACAGAGTGTAGTAAGTGAGTTTGGGAGTGGGAAAANAACAACAACACAGAAAGGTGTTAGCCTTGGAGTGTGCGAGACTGGAAGGACTCAAAAGTAAAATGCTCTCTCTCTCTCTCTCTCTCTCTCTCTAGCACTCCAATTTAATCACCAAAAATTGATCACAAGAAAGTAAGGTAAAATGAGAAATACATTTGATGATAAGCTAATTAAATTAAACTAGCTGTGAGTACAGTCAGAAACAGTTCATCGAAATGTGCCAAAACTAAAGCGACACATTTAAATTTTTGTTTAGCTGAATATTCTTTTCTCATTTTGAAAAAAATTGAAACATCAGCTTTAAGATTGCTTCAAGTTTGTCAAGTATCGCCGACCCTCGATTGCACTAAAACAGACTGTG